ACTTGGTCTTCTTCTTGTCACCGCCCCCGTTGCCTTCGTTGCCGCCTTGTTTGCTGCCGTCGCCGCCTCCGCCACGACGACCGCTCTTCCAATCCTTCTTGACGGCAATCGCCTTCTGCTTGGCGTTCGAACTCGGGCAGTCCCGCAATTTGTGCTTCTTGCTGCCGCAGTGCCAGCACGGTCGTTCCATCGTTCTTGCGTTCTTGTTGCACTGGAGGCTTGTTGTCCTTCTGCTTGAACTTGCGCTTCTTCTTCCCGCGCGCACCTTGCTGCTCCTCGTGCGACGGTTTCTCGTCTTCGTCGGACGACTCCTTGTCACGAGGACGCTTCGTCTTGGGGCTCCACGACTTGTAAAAAAATGCCCGCTTGAGGATGATCTTCTCAAGGTGCTGAAGGCCAGCTTGCTTGTTGACAGCCAGCTTCTCTCGGAGCAGCTGCATCACGTCCGTCTGAAGCTCTTGAGGACGGAGCTGTTGAATGAGCGCCTTGAAGATATTGGCCTTGAGAGCATCTCCAACGCGCCACCGCTATAGCTATAGCTAAACGCGTTATAACCGACCTTTCTCATATTATAGCGGTGTGCTAAACGATGTGCTCCAATGGGAGTTGCATCGATAGCTATCGCTATCGCTACGGATTGGCTGACAGCGCACCAGTCCACTTAGCGGGAGTGAAAAACGCAGCGCACGGAAGAGAACGCTCGGCGCATGATCGAGAGAAGCGGAGGCCGCTCGGAGGAGCGTGGCGGAAAGAGTGAGGACTGGAAGAGCAGGCAGGAGAAGCGCGGGCGCGGGGAGGAGGAAGGACTGCTGGCCCTGCCGATGAACTACGACCTCCACCTACGTATACATGTATGCGCAGCGCTGGGCCTAGAGTGTCGGCAAGCAGCGTCCAATCTACGCGCGACCACGGCGGATTGAGGCTTAGATGTTGAGTATCGACGACCGACGAAGGGACCTTGAGGAATTTGACGCCAAACGTGCAAGGGCCCAGAATGCTGCTGATGAAGTTGAGATGGTCCCGCGAGATCGCGAGCGGGTACAAGTGGTGGCCTACCAGTGAGGACGTCGCTCTCAAGGTATTCGCGGACGTCCTCGTGGTCATCCAGCTTTCTGGCTCGGACGATGACGCCGATCTGGAGTTCACCAAGCGATCTTTGTGGGGACGACGCTGCTCTGTGAAACTTCCATCTCACGTAGCGGGGGAAATGACTTCGCGTCCGAGCTCCAGGCCGATCAAAGCCAAGGCTTGTTGGAGAATGTCGACTTCGTGCAGCTCTATCGACTCTGCAGCGTGTGACAACGCCAACTTCACGGCGACGAGGCCGCTCTGTCAACGCAGCGCCGTATATGATTATAAGCCTAACTGACAGCTCGACTAGCGCCGCCACCGTTGCGTGATCCGCCTCATATCCACAGACAAGTGAGTGGGTTTTGGGTCGATACATACATTGGTTTTCGTTGACAGTTTACTGGGGCACGAGAGAGACGAGGCAGTTTTCGAGCGCGTCCATCGAGTGGCCGAGGATCTCGAGAGACGTGGCGTACGACATGCGCACCGAATTTTCAATGCCAAAGGCCGAGCCCGGCACGATCGCGCAGCCAAATTCCGAGAGGAGGTACGAGCAAAAGTCTTCGCTGTTGGTGATGGTGACGCCGTTCGTGCCAACGTGGTTGGTGCCAATGTAATGCGGGAGCTCGATAAAGACGTAGAACGCACCCGTCGGGTACGCGTACTGGATGTGCGGGATCGCGTCGAGGCGGCTGCACACGTACTTGCGCTTCTCGTCCATGTTGGCCAGCGTCGCCTCGATGAGCGGCGTCTCGGCCGCGGCCTCCATCTCGAGCGCCGCAATGGCCGCAATCTGCCCGATCGAGCTCGCACACGATGTGAGCTGGCCCTGGAGCTTGGTCGCGGGCTTGGTAAACGTCGCCGGCGCGGCCATGTAGCCGATGCGGAGACCCGTCATCGCGTGGCTCTTGGAGAAGCCGTTGATGAGGAGCGTGCGCGACCGAAGCAGCGTCGCAAAGCAAAGGTGCGTGCGCGGCTCAGCGCCTTCGTCCTGGTACACGAGCTGCTCGTAGATCTCGTCGGCGATAATGAGCACGTGGGGGAAGTCTTCGAGGACGGCGGCGATCTCGCGCAGGAGCTCGGGGCCGTGCACGACACCCGCCGGGTTGGACGGGTTGCAGAGGATCATGACCTTGATGCGCGGGTCCGCCGCGAGCGTCGCCCGAAGCGCGGCCGGGTCGATCAAGTACGAGTTGGCGACGTCGGTCTGCAGAAAGACGGGCACCGCACCCGCAATCTTGGCCATGTCCGGGTACGAGACCCAGTACGGCGCCGGAATGAGCACGTGGTCGCCGGGCTCGCACGTGACGAGGAGTGCTTGGAAGACCGACTGCTTGGCGCCATTGGAGACGATGATCTCGGATGCCGGGTCATAAGTGACGCCCTTGGCCGTCTCGAGGTACCCCGCGATCGCCTTGCGGAGCTTGAGCATGCCCTGGACCTCCGTGTACTTGACGTAGCCGTCCGCGAGGCCTTGACGGGCCGCGTCGATGACTTGCATGTGCGGGTTAAAGTCGGGTTCGCCCACGCAGAGCGAGTAGACGGTCTTGCCCTCGGCTTCGAGCTGCTTGGTGAGGCCGTGGATCTGCACGGTCTTGGACTGCGAGAGCTTCCCGAGGAGCGGGTTGAGGCGGACCGGCGACTGCGCACGCATGCTCGCCCGCAACGTCGCCCGCAACTAGAATAGGAAAGATGAGCCTCATATCGTACATGTATGAAGCTATTCGGTCGGTACCTCGATAAAGTCGTGTTCAAACTGGTCGAGGGCGGCCTCGGCCGCCGTCGCGTTCTCCTTGTAGTAGGCCACGAGCTCCTCGTCGTTGTGATGCGTCGACGACAGCACTGCGTCCACCGCTTGGTTGAGGAAATGGCGCTTGTTGAGCGCACTCTGGATCGCATCCGGCAGCATCGCGTTGGCTGGGTACGTGCCAAAGACACGGACGAGGTTGCACACATTGCTGAGCGCCGTGAGGACCGACTGGAGACGCGCGTCCTCGGCGTGGCCGATCACATCAATGTAGAAGAGGTACTTGAACTTGTGGGTCGAGAGCTCGGTCGCGTCCTTCTCTGCCGCGACGTTCCACGGACGCACCTCGAGCTTGGAGATCTCAACGTGCTCGGCGGCAAAGAGGCCGAGCGCCGTGTGCAGCTGGCTCGTACCGTTCGTGAACGACACCACAAGCGTCGTCTTGGCCGGCACGGTCTCGTCGACAGGCGGCAGCATCGCCGACGCCGAGAGGAGGAGGAAGCGCGTCACATTGCTCGCGTCGTCTTCAATGTTGGCGTCGAGCACCTCAAGGCCGTAATGGTGGGCGGCGAGGTCGCTCGCAATCGCGGCCGTGTCGGCCCACTCGGCGCCGTGCTCCGAGAGCATCTTGGCCGAGCCCGCGGTGTCGTACTCGGCGCGCGCGACCATGCCGTGGTTGCGCGTGTAATGGGCGCATTGCGCGAGCGCCTGCGGGTGCGAGATGACCGTGCGAATGTCGTCCTTGTTGGTGCCCGGGAGCCCGAGGAGGCAGTGGTGCACGGGCAGGTCGACTTCGCCGACAATGTGCAAGTTGTAGCGCAAGAGCAGATCGTAGTTGGCGTGGATCGTGCCACCGACCGAGTTTTCAATCGGGAGGAGGCCGTACTCGACGTCGCCGTCGGTGACGGCCGTGAACGCAGCTTCAAACGACTCGTAGCCCGTGGCCTCGACGCCCTCGTGGCCGAGGAGCTGGTGGACCGCCTTCTCCGAGTACGCGCCGGCAACGCCTTGGTACGCGACCTTCATGCTGTGGAATGGATGCTGCTCGTGAGCAAATGTGAATATGGCGCTTGGTTGCTGCGGCGACTTCCCTTGTTGTTCCGACATCCCTTCGTTTGCGTAGGACCCCCTCCCATTACGCATGTGGTTTTGTTTTTGCACCTTGCGTTTTGTATGGTATCCAGGTGCCATTGGGAGGGTACAGGCCCATGCGGATTCGAATGCGCAATAGAATCTTCTTGTGACACGTACTGCGCGGAGAGACCGAGGGCCTCCGCGGATGCGTGATTACCAAAGACGCCACAGTGCGCTGCGGCTTCTGAGCGACCGGTCACAAGGCCACGGCCGTGGGGGAAAAACACGACCGGCGACGGACGCGCGATGTGCAAAGTGGGTCTTGATTGGCCCGGCCAAGCTACTCGGCGATTACAGCGCGAGGATGTGGCCGCGCAAGCACCTAGCACACTCGACGACGCTAGCGCCATGGGTACGGACGGTGTAGACAAGCGGGGCAAGGCTTCGCTGCCGGCTCGCTATCACAGCCTCTCGAGCGTATTTACCCGTCCGGCGCACGACGGTGGTGACGTAGGGTTGAAGAGTCCCCTTGCAAAATCCAGCGGAACCAGACGGGTCCCATGGACCCATCCACGTACGACTAGTTGGCGCCGTGTACGAGAAGAGTGCCCATGTGACTGGCGACCGCTGAAGTAGCAACAACAGACCATGCTTCCTTGGGAGTAGCAAGGAGGTCGCAAGAGAACCATAAGAGCAAATCTAGAGATTAGCTTGAAGAACGTCTTGCTGTCAAAGGCTGGTCGAAGTTTGTCGACGTTAGAGGCAGCTTGAAGTGATGTATCGCACGGTTCGTAGGGTTGCAAAGACCGATACTAGTATACCCATCTTGACCAAAAGAACTTCAACGGTGGCTTCAACCACCGATCAACTTGCCGTTCTGGGACCCGAATGCCATCGCAATCACCCCGTACGCCTCTGCTTGCCTTCACGTAGGGTAAGCGAGCTCTTCTCTCCCAAGAAGCTGCGCAAGAGCGTTTGAGATAGCTCGTTGCGGGATTTGGCCACAGAGTATCTTTATCCGGATATGTGTTCGCACCAACCAATCAAATGGTGTCCTTTCGCCCCACATCCGGTTCAGTCAAAAAAGTCCAACGGCAGAGATGATTGAACTGGTGCCTCACCTTCAGCAACCAGACGGCCTTGTCTGTCCTATGACGCGGTAGCAGAGAATAATGGATAGTGCCTGGAATGAATCGACAAACGCGTTGTCGTTGCTCCAGAACCATCCTTGGGACCTGCGCAGCACTGGGACGCATTTTGCAGTGACGCGATGTAAGTAGCGACGCGATGGAAGCAATGAAGTCGTGCAAAAAGACTTGGTAATCCTTATAAAGGTATGGCTACATGGCTTGGATGTCGAGCTTTTGGTAGTCATGCATGAGCAAACTCTCCTGCTTGGCTTCGCTGCTGTGGTGGTCGTGCGCAAAGTGGATGTAGACAAAGACAGCCGAGACAAAGAGCAGCCACACGAGCACAAAAGTGTCCCAGACGCTGCCAAAGAACGAGTCGACCGAAGCGAACGCGATGAATTGGTACGTATACGCCTTTCCGAGAGGCGTCTCGAGGCCGCGGGGTAGCTCGAATGGTGCCAAGGCAGGCTGTACTTCATGGAACGCGAGCCAGACACCGCAGAGAAGTACGTTGAGGCCGAAGAAGACTAGACATGGGCGTTGCTACATGCTACTCCATCGGAGAGGAACGTACGCGATGAGAGTGAGCTGTAGCTAGCGACTAATCGGCGTATAAGACGAGCGCAATCAAGGAGCGAGATGGTGGGTACCAAGTGCAAGGCCAAGACCTTGGATCGCTATGAGACCTGCAGCGCTGCAGCTAAGAAGGCGAGACTGGACGTCTTTGGTCATCCTGGTTTCAATGGCACTCGAGCCTTTGGCGGCGTATCCTTGATGTGGCCAATCAGATGCACGCGATCTTGTGTCGAAAGATCTGAGGCACTCATCGTCTTTCACAGGAAAGGCGCTGACAGTCATTCGACTAAGACACAGGACTTAGGTTTGAGCATATTCACAAGTCGGACGCCGCAGCAGCAAAGCGACTGTTCCAGCATTCTCCGCTAGAGCGCTTATTGCAGCTCGCCTTCGTCTCGCGGCCTTGGCTCCTACTAGATTCCCACGGTCGCGAAGCCATCGTGCGTGGAGCTCAAAAGCCGAATGGGCAGTCTGTATAGGCCGCGCTTGATAGCATGGCTAAAACAACGCTTGTCCAGCTCGTGTGTGTGTGGTGTCCGTCCAGCCATGTTGCCATGTATGCGCTCTTATCTAAGCCCAATCCAATCGAGCGTAATAAAAAGCTCTCGGCGGTTTCGCGTCCCTTCGCAATGGAGAGGCAGTGGTTACAGTTGCGTTTCCGCGCCAACAGACAAGCCGCGCGATGCCCGTGTACGCGGCGATCTCGCCCAAGTACAATGCGGCGCTCTCGATCGAAGCTCTGCACAATGCGGGCTTGCTCACGGACACAAGCATGAAGATGTACACGCCGCAGACGCTCACGCGGCTGAACCGGTTCGAGGTCGTCTTTACCTTCTTCACGGTGCCCGACTCGTCCGTGTACAGCAAAGTGTTTCACCACTTTATGGGTATTTCAGCGCTTGTCTCGTGCGCGTCGCTCTTTCTCCGGACGCTCGACGGCCCCAACATGGACATTTACCACGCGGGGCACCCCGACTACCCGAATTTGCCCGACGAGGCCACGTATGTGCTCCTCGACGGCATTTTTACGTGCATTTTCACCATCGACTTTGTGATTCGAATCGTGATTTGGCCGTCGCTCTGGGCCAACGTCGACGTGCTCAAGGAGCGCCGCTTGCTGCCGTTTGCGAAGGACGTCTTCAACTGGTTTGACGTACTCGCGCTCGTGCCCTTCTACATCGATCTCATCTTTGGGAGCGGTACGAGCTTTGTCGTGCTGCGCTTGGCGCGTCTCTTGCGTATTTTCCGCTTGGCCAAGGTGCACGCTGCCCTTTCTATTGCAGCATATCTTCACCACACTATGGTACTAGAACAATTCCGGCACATACATTCTCGTCCAAGCCATCATTGCCAGCGTGCCTGCGATCACTGTCGCGGTACGCATCTCTCGATGCATCGCGATGCGAAGTCTTTTCCTAGTTGATCTTTCTGACGGAAATTGTGCTCGTGTTTTCGTGCCTCATGTACCTCTTCAACCCGTGCACGTCCATTGATACGTGCATGTTTACGGATCTTCTCACGTCGGCCTACTATGTTGTGACGACGTACGTATTGTCCTAGCACGTGTCTCATACCTACTATATATATTGATATCGCTGATTAGGGTCTCGACGGTCGGGTACGGCGACGTGGTGCCAGCCGATGGCAACATGCTTGGGCGATCGACAGCGGTCGTCATCATGGTCATTGGCACGCTCTTTTTGTCGATGCCGTTGGCGATCGTCGGCACGGAATTTGACCGCGCGTGGCGCGACCACACGGACAAGGTCGTCACCCGCAGCATCGAGTCGATGCACGCGCTGGCGGCGGGCACGAGCGAAAACCAAAAGAAAACCGACCACGCGCTCGAGGAGAACCCGGAAATTCTCACCAAGTACATGACGCCCAACAGCCTCTACTTGCGCCTCGCCGCGCTCACAGGCGAGATGACGCTGATTGCGACGACGCTCAGCGCCGAGCTCAAGCACGAAACAGACATTTCCAAGATCTACCAGACCGCGCAAGACCTCCATGCGCACATGATCCAGTGCCAAGAGCAGCACGTCGAGCTCGTCTCGACTGTCGAACAAATGGTTGCCGAAGACCACAGCCACGACGCGGTAGCATCCCATTCCGCTGTCCATGTCCTTCATGAATGTACGCGTAGAACAACGGTCGTAGCTCCATCCGAGACCGCATTGTGGCCTCGTTTCGGCGCAGCTGGACCGGCAAAGAGCTTCCGAAGCAAGGCGCGGCGGCCGTTGCGTCGCCCAGCACGGCGGCCGTTGCGTCGCCCAGCACGGCGACCCGCGCGTCGCGCTTCCGGCTGCGGTGGTGCATCTTTATCTTTAGCATTGGCGTGCTCTTTGTGCAAACAATGCCAGACGTCCAGCCGTTTGGTGAAAACACAGCCTACTGCAAGACGGTCGCGCAAACGTACTGCGCGTATGCCTCGTCTTCCAACACGAGCGCCGATCCCGGGTGCTTCTCGAGCGTCGACACGAGCGTGCCACTCAACTTTGAGTGCGACGCGAAAACGTCCGACATGACGCACTGCTACGGACACGGCAACAACTTTGGCAGCCTCTCGCTGAGCGCTTACAACTGCTTGTACCCCAACATCAACTACAACTACACGGGTTTCGGGAGCATGCTGCCGTTCCGACCGATCTGGGACCTTACCAAGGCGGAGCGTCCCAACTACGTGTGCAAGCGCCCCGAGTGCCAGCGCCGGCACTTTTACTACCTCAACGCCTCGCCGTACTGGTACGGCCTCGAGTACATCTTCTTCCTTTGCTCGCTCGTCGAGCTCCTTTCGATGCTGGCGCTCACGGGCCCTCGCGCAATGAACTGGAAGAACCCATATCAGTGGGCCGACGCGATCGCTTTCATTCCCTTCCTCATCTTTGAAGCCAAACGGTACTTTATGGGCATTACGCCCGACTACGCCATCGTGCCGACCTCCAACAGCGTCCTCACGGCGATGCGGTTTTGTCGTATTTTCCGCTTTTTTCAAATTCAAGCGGTGAGCTCGTCGAGATTTTCGGTGCATTGACGGTCGCGTAGGAAATCCCGGCCACGTTTGTCGTGCGTGAAGCCATTTCCAAGACGTATCTACGCCTCGTGATTCCGGTATGCATGTCTGGTGATGGAAGACATTGATGTATCGCATGTCGACAGTACTTTATGCTCGCCCTCTCGACGACAATTTTTGCGTTTCTCATCTACCAAGTCGAAATGGGCACCGAGTGCTTTGTGGGGACACCGTGCACCGACAGCGCGGGCAAACTCATCAAGTTACCACCCACGACCGCGCACATGCCGACAGGGAAGCGCGTCTTGATCGACGTCCGCGGCCAACTCTCCCAGTTTGAAGATGTCTTTTCGGGCATTTGGTTTATCATTGTCACGTTCGTATTCCTATTTTGTAGCCTGGACCCTAACTCCACTATGATACTAGGATCACGTCGGTGGGTTACGGGGACATTGTGCCCAAGAACATGAGTGGCAAGTTCATTGCGGTGCTGGCCATGATCTTTGGCGCTTGCTACACGGCGATGCCCCTCACGCTTGTCGGCAGTCAGTTCAACCGGAGCTACAACGACCACAAGCGGCGCGAGGCCCTCACGCGCACCAAGAACGACGTGGGGTCGCGCCTCACGCTTCCGGCCCCCGACTTGACGAGCTGGAAGCTCTTTCGGACGCAGTCGTTCATGGCGGAAGTGCAGTCCATGTACGAGCGCGGTACGACATTCTCACTTGTTTATTTTTTCAATTTATAACGTGCGGCGCAGAGTTCATGTCGCTCTTGCCCGAGCTCGACGAAGACCTTGTCGCGCAGCTTACGCTCTCGGAGGAAGAACGTTCCGAGAAGATTGCCATCATCACCAGAGTCAAGGACAAGATCGAAAAGTACAAGGTAGACACATCGGTTCGATGCTCGCGAGGACCTTATCGGCTCGTAGATCTCGATTCTGCAAAGTGCCCGCGTCGTGAGTCGGTTGTACCACGAAGGCATCCGGTTGGCCAAGCAGCAAACCTCGGCCTTGCATCGGTTGGGCTGACCGCAGCTACATTTGATATTGCATGGAGCTCGTTATTGCATTTTTAATATACTCGTATGTCTTTTCGTTCTCGAATATCGCAACTACATTTGTCGTCAAGTGACAAGACCACACCGAGTCGCGAGCTACTCGACAGTGGCTGCCGCCGTGTCGAGCAAACGCGGAGTGGTTTTGGCCGTAAACGAGCGCCGGACCCACTTCCACGAGGTCATCAAGCTCTTGGGCAGACTGGACCGCGCCTTGAGCACTCGGACGGTGCTACAAACAGGAAGCTTCTCAGCATGTGCCGTGTCGGTTGCCGTACCGAGGGGTCTTGTCTTCACTGCTGCGCAAAAAGTCGATAATGGCGGCAGTATCTAGCGTCTCAATCGGGGCTCCGTTCAAGTGGGTAAGACGATCCCCAGCGTCGACGCGCTCGAGCGCAGGCGATGGAGCGCTAAGTAAGCAAGGTCGTTCACACAAAGATGCACAAAACGGTGAAATGTACCGTTCAAACTTGTGAAACACGGTATATTTGGTCGAAAAGTCCGTCTCGAGCGAGAGTCCCAAGGCTTCGGACGCGGATGGCGCTTGGATCGTTACGTGTCGTAGACGGGAGGTCACCCACGTCTGGCGTGCATCAAGCGCCTCACCGGTACTCGCCGGCACCCGAGCGAGGCTCGACGTAAGGAGCTCGGTCAAGACGCGGGGCGCCGACGCTACTGTGATCGTGCTACTTGGTACTGCACTGCTATCACCAGCGGTGGGTGGTGAAGGACACCGACGACGCCACGGCGAGAGTGGCCGCTGCGCCCGAAACTCCCGTTCATACAGCGTCAAGTCGCGAACCAGAAGCGATCGCGGCTCGTTTTCGAGCTTCTCGAGCGCGACGGTGACCATTCCGACGTGCGACGAGCCGGGCGTTCGATCTGCGTGAATGCCAAGCGCCGAGATCCCGTTGATAGCGATAAGCAGCTGTCCGGGCGCAATTCCATCCCGTCGCCGCTCTTTGCTCGTCCGCGGCGACAGCAGTGGCCTGTCTAAGGCTGCTGCAAACGGCTCGATCGTTGGTACTTCGAGCATGCGTTCAACGAGCGCAAAGCGGAAGCGTGGCATCCAGTCTGACGTCGGGATCGTCACGATGTCATAGTCGTCGTCTGGCGTCGCTGATGGTGTGGACGCCGAGAGACGAAGCAGCGACAATTGCTTTGGAAACAAACTCGGGTCGATACTCGAGAGGAGGTCTCGAACGTCGTCGACGGGCGCCCCCAAGACGACGTGGTCGTTGATCTTGACGACGCACTTGCCACGAATCCGTGCCGCCCACGCTGCGTCCACCTCGACGTCCGTGACGACAAACGGCTTGACCATAAGGAACGACTCGCCAAGCTGAAATCCGAGGGGCTGCGACGGCGGAAAGATGACTTCAAACTCGCCGTCGTCCATGTGCGCTTGCTCTTCCCGCAGCCATGCCTCAACGAGCGACTCGGTGGACGTAAAGAAGGACGCGCCGGCCTTGGGCAGAAAGGCCAGCTGCATTGGCTTGTCACTGCTTTTCGCTTCGCGCAGCTTCTTCATGACGTCGCGAAACGAGTATGGAAGGACGTTGGTCGCATTCTACACCACCCACGATTAACATGAAGGTGGTGATCGCCTAAGGTACGATGGCCACGAGCACGTCACCAGGCGTCAAGTCGGGGCAGATGCGCTCGACGGGCCCTAGGATGATGTCAGTACATACGCAGCCGCTGGCGCGCTGTGTACCTGGGACCGACTCGATCTTCTTGACAAGCACATGCCCGTCGTGGTCGAAGGCAATGCGGATGCCGAGGTCGCCAGGCTCTGCAAACGTCAGCTACAGCAAGGCCATAGGTCGGTCATGAGCATAGCACTGGGCGAGGCTACCTCGAGGACCTCGTCGGAGCTGCTGCCATGGTCGACAGCGCGCGTCGGCGCTGCTTCCTGCACCTCGGTCGCTGTCATTGCAAACTATTTTTGGCATCAGGTCAAATGATCTTCCGGAAAATATCCGGTTTCATACTATATCACAATTCACGATCACACTATATGTTGCAAAATGCTGCCTTGACGCATCGACTCATGCCAAATGCCATAGCATTGTACCCGGTTCAGCCCGGTACATGACAAGAATACCTCGCGCTAAAGT